ATGTGTTGAAATTATCCTTCTTCAGTGACAAAACTCCTAAATTTGTGTAGACTCCATATACAATTGAAAATCCTGCAATAACACCTGACATAGCAATATGAGCTGGAATGCCAATGAGATCATCTCCATTCTGCCCAGACTACAATATGGTGGATGCATGAGTATAATTATCTTCTATGGGTCACATTTCTAGGCAATACTTTTTTGTGAGATAGACAGCTATATAAATTTGATTGATAAATAATATAAATAAGATAAGGAGTGTGGGTATTCTAAATATATGCCTGGGTTACCAATGAAAAATATAGCTTCCACAGTTTCTTCCATGTCAATTACATCTTTATCTTCCTTATTTCAAGAGGAAAATCTGTACTGCACACAGTGAATTGGCTCCAAAGTTTTATTTATTCTGATGAAAAGGGTCCAATCTAATGACCATGTACAGGAAGAAATAAATTAAACCAAAAAAATAAATTAAAACATTTTAATACATAAGAAGAAAAGGAGAGTTAAGAAATAAATCTGCAGTTAATGAAAGCATTTTGAGGACTAAGAAGTCTCAGATTTGAACTCAGTTCATGCCATTTTCTTGGCAGGAATATGGAAGTGGTTTCCTATTGCCTTTGAGGGCTATTTTTGTAAACTCAGTCTGGTTTCAGCATATAATTGGACTGTTTGATTGAACAAGAACAGGAATAAGCAACCTGATCTCTCTTTTTCTCCAGATAGCTATCTAAGGAAGACTGTAGTTATAGTCCAAAATTCCTGGTGGCACAAAATTGCCTGCGCCTGATCCCCTAATTCAGTTAAAAACAATTAATTGCAACACTCTGAGCTTCAATCCAGCTCATTATGTACCCTCATGTTTTCAAAACAAAGCTCAGGTTTTGGAAGATACTTTTTTTAACAAAAATCTTTTTAAAGTAGAGGATTTTTACTGATAGGTACAGAGGGCAGCTGAATATCCTTTACCCAAAGTCAGCTGAAATAAATAAGTATTTTGCATCAGGGCCATATAATGACTGAACAAATTCTGAAAAGAGAAGGAAGATAAAAGTTCTTTTAAGAGTTCTTTAAGGTATCAGTTTGATAACAACCAAAACACCTTTACTGCCATTAAATATTTACCAAGACTTGGCTTTCAGGAGAGGGGCAGTTTAGAGCAGTGTGCTTGGCTCCATGCATTGGTATTGATTAGCTATCAGAAGGACATGGTTAATGAATAACTTTGAGTATCACTGAGCACTCAACATTGTTGTCAAGGCTGCTCTTTTTTTTCTCTTCTCTTACCTGAAAATGACCTAAATTAAAATCAGTTAGGACTGACACTAACCCTGCCACAGATTGCTCAAGAATCCTAGGGAATAAACAAGACTGGAAAATCAGTTGATTGATGCTTACGCAATCCATTCTAGTGGCTCTTGTCATCCCTACTGGACTTTAGAACTAAATATGTTTACATTTAATTAGAAAGAACACACACTTTACATCACATGGAAGCTATCAATATCGAATTGGAATTGATTTCCGCTTTGTCTCACTAGTGAATCACTATTTCCTTCAAACTGTTTTTTATTTTCAAAACATCAGCTTGCAAAATGAGTCGTATAAATTTTAAAGCAGAGTAAACCTATTGCATAGAGATAATCATGAAAGTAAGCGGCAACTAGTACAGCTGCAAATTGAGTACAGCTTTTTTTAAGAGATGTTTCAATTGCTTGATGTGAATTGTAGTACGAAGTAAATGTCACCGATGGTTCCATTAAATCTCCAAGATTTGGAGATTTTACTAAGATAGTTGGATATATAGCTTTATCCTATGGATCCTTTTGTAAATGCAAATTTCCACATATAGCATTAGAAAAGAAAAACTAAATTCTAGACTTCCATGAGATGCTTCTTTGATGTGATATGATAAATTCATGGAAGATAAAATGATCAGTGGCTATTAGTCTGAATGACCATATTGTGTTTATAGACTTTAAAGCAGAAGTCCTCAAACTACAGCCTGCAGGCCAGATATGGCCCCCTGAAGCCATTAATCTGGCCCACGCAGGACCACGAGGCTGCCCTGCCCACATTGCCGCACCTACCTGCCTGCCACCATCTGCCTTCTGGAGACCGAGGAGGCCAAAAATGGGACACACAGAGGTCCCGAGAGGCCAAAAATGGGCCTGTTTTTGGCCTCCCCAGCCTCCAGAGAGAGGGAGGGAGAAACATACACACACACACACAAACAGAAGCCCTTCACCCCTCCCCACCCCCCCAAGGCAGCCACATTCCTTCACTAACCTGCTTTCCACCCACAGGAGCATAACAAAGTTTAATTTGTATGTATTGTTTAATGGACTGCTAAATTGGCCACACCCACCCAATTACATGACCACCTAGCCATGCCCACCCAGTCACATGACCACTTAGCCACGCCCACCCTGCAGGTCCACCCCCCCAAGAGTCTGAGGGACCATGAATTGGTCCCCTGTTTAAAAAGTTTGAGGACCCCTGCTTTAAAGCAACATGCCCTGAACACCAATTATTAGGAACAAGTGAAGAAAAGTCTTGTTCTCATGTCTTAATTGTGAGCTTCTCTGATGCACCTGAATGACTATCTCAAAGGTATTTTGTTGAAAAAGCAACTGGACTGATTTTTTTTCTCCAAAAAAAGTCAGTCCAGTTGCCTTTTCAAAACAAAAAACACCCCACCTTTGAGACAACTATGACCTGGATGACTGAGACACTTGGTCTCTAATCCAACAAGATTCTTCTTAATTTTTTTTTTTAATATTTGAAAATAGTATGCTGATTTCTTCAGCTTGTAGCTCAGGATACTATTTTGAAATGCTTCTTCTTTTTCACTTATGGCAAAATCATGTTTAATATATTTTATCTGTTATTCTTCTACCGACTTTTTATTTCTTTATACATTATTTATAATTTCAAAATGTCCTTATTTAATTGAATAGATACTTCACATCATTTTCAAACAACCTCAGGTGGTAGGTAATGACATGCCAATTCCTTGACCTTTAACTTTTAGATTCCTATTAAATCAGCTGTATTTTACTTATGCATTCCTGGTGAGTTTTAATTTCTATATGAAATGGCAATCTGATTGTGCTTCCTTTTTTGTTCAGAAACAAAAGGACATTGCCAATAAACTTAATGCAGGATTTGTTTGTTCTTCTTGCTTTTCAGTAGAAAAATATAGTTTCTATTTCATTTTACACTTACACAGTAATTTAGATATGTTCAGTCTATATGCCCAATGTTTGTAAATAAACCAGCTTCTAACAATACAGTGTAGGATGAAAAATAAAACACTCATTTGAAGAAAACATTTGTTTATAAATTTACTTTTGTTTTGGCTAATTAAAAACAATTCCAAAAATAGATATAAAATTTATTTTTTTTAAGTTAATACAGGATTCCTGTTCAGTCATTAAAATGGAAGTAATCTGTAAACCAGTTTCCTATTTCATAAAAATATTCCAAGAAAAAAAACCTGAGGAATAACCCCAACTAGACTTCCCTGGAAAATTTTTAGGAAGGGTTGAAATAAAGTATATATAAAAACCCAAAGGGGCTTTTTCAAGAGGCAATCTGAAAAGTTTAGAACTGAAGAAGTTTCTTGGATGAGAAGCGAAATGTCTTCAAGGAAAAACAAAGAAAGTCCAGTTGCCTTTAGAAAAAGCACTTTTGCAACAACCATGACTTGGATATATGCATAGATAACATATGTTATTGCGTTCAGCAGCTGTTTTAAACATTTCTTGTTTTTTATAGTAACGAATCATGATCAAAACTAAACTCAGACTTTCACACATTGAAGTGTGCACACAGACAGTCATGTGCAGTCACAGTCATATTCCTGATACCATTTCCTGGACAAAAGGGAAAATGTTCAGGAATCTAGAAAGCTTGAGCGCCTAGTCCTGGAATAGCCAAATAGCCTCCCGGTTCCTCCCAGGAATCCTTCAATTCCTTCAAATTGACCTGAGGTTTCTCATGGCTTCCAGTCATCTGTCCAGGCATTGATTACCAGGTTTCCTACACAACTATGCTCTCCAGGAGCTACTAAAAATCGCTTAGTGGGCTGTTGTTGGCAACAACAAGATGAGAATATGGGCTGTTGGCTTCTTATTCCTGAAGAAAGCTGGAGCTGACTTGGCTACAACACCTGAGAATAAGACAGGTAGAAATAATAGAATACAGCATCAGTTTCACATCTTGCTCTTACAAATGGAAATCCCTAAATTCAGATCTACACTGTTCTGCCCAATAAAGATTATTTTCTATGTAGTGGGAATATGAAAGTAGGAACCTAATTATAGTATGAAGCAGCTCATTCTGAAGTTGTTGCCTTTATTTTTTCATTCAGATATAGCCCGTGAGGTTGAACCTCAGAAATAAATGTCTGCAATTATCTGTCTGTCTATCTATCTATCTATCTATCTATCTATCTATCTATCTATCTATCTATCATATCTATCTATCTATCATCTATCTATCTATCATCTATCTATCTATCTATCTATCTATCTATCTATCTATCTATCCTATCTATCTATCTATCTATCTATCTATCTATCTATCTATCTATCTATCATCTTAAAGATAATCAGTATCATTTCACTGAGGTCTCCCTGAGAAAGAATTCTTGTGCTGAAAAAGGCAAGGGATTTGGGATTTATTGTACAGATCAGAAGCAACTTGTACCCGTAAATACAGAGAAACTCCTGAATACTATTTGTTTCTACTTATAGAAGAAAAGAAAGAAAAATAGTCAAAATGCTCTAAAGATTTAAGCTGCTGATTCAGCTCTATGTTAATTTAAATGTATTGTAAAACTATCATGAATGACGTAGCAGGTTTTCTTGTGTCACTTTATATATTTAATAAATGAATGAATATTTATGCACATATTTATGCCCCTTTGATTGATATATTTAAAATTACATTGTATTGATCACCACTGTTGTACATATTTTTTGTTTCACCAGTTTGCATCAAGCTCTATCCCAAGAAGCAAATCTTAAGGATCAGTTCAACTCCGCACTTGTAACATATGAAAAAGCTCTGAAAAATAAAGATGATATTGTCTCCATGCTTTTTCTTCAAAATGAGGAGCTGGTGACTCAACTCCAGCAAATGGCAGCAGAGAAAACAAGCATAGAATTAAAATTTCAGCAAACTTCAGATGCTTTGCAAGATACCACTGAAAAACTTCAAAAGTAAGTATATCGCCTGTCATTTTGAAAAATGCAATTTGTTAACTAAACGAGCTATTGTGCCTTTTTTCCATGGCATAAAAAGCACAATAAAAAGATAGAAATACCTAAACATCTTATAATGCATTAAAGCAATTTAATAGGCTTAATAGCAATTTATTTTAAAGTTTTGGGCATTTTATAATCTTTAAAGGTTTGTTTGTAACCAATGTAGAATAGTTGCAAAATTTGCAAGGAGAGAGGAAACACAGAGACACCACACAAACACACACACAGAGAGAGAGAGTTTATATTCAAGATTTTATTGAAGATAGCTTTACATATTAGAGATTGGATTAGTTGTTATGGCTAGGGACCACAACAGTTTCAATACAAGTTTGTGAATATTCGTACACATTCATACCTGACATGAGTCAATTCTGATACACTTAAAACTGAAATTTTGAAGAAATTTGATTCAAGTTTGCACATTGAAACTGGGGGCGAGCCAATTTAAGTGAATGAATTGAGTGAGTCAGTGAATATTTCATTGGAATGATTAGTATAGCCAATTTGATCTGAACCAATCTGAGATTTGAATTTGGAGAAAAAATACTCATTGACTGTTCAGTTGTTTGTTTATTTAAATGTATAGTTGCCTACTTTTCCAATTCCAAGCATCTTTAAAACATATGAGTTACACTGATAGAAACACCCATAAAACAAATAACAATTATAATAAAACTATTCAAATTATAAATAGATATATAGCTGTCATCCAACAATCTCAAATAGTCCCTTAGATGATTGTTTCCAGCACCTTCTGAAATATCAGGGTAAAGACACATATTGGGAAAATCAGTCTCTAATCTCAGGCCGCCTTTTTCCACATTTTTGGGGGGCATTATCAGAAAAATATCCTATTTCAGCTTTTGACATGATTAGAAGATAATAATAGTAGACTTTTTAGCCAAATGTCTTCAAGAGCTTTATCATAATATATTTTTTTTTATTTTTTTTTAAAAAAATTTATTTGATTTATATGTCGCCCTTCTACGGAGACTCAGGGCGGCTTACAATGTGCTTGCCAATCAATTCTGCCAATCTTCTGGCATCCTAGAAAACCCAGTGATCAGAGGTAGTAGACTCATAAGCACAAGTCAATGGGCATTCTTCAATGTAATGCCAAGCCTGGCATCCGCCAAAAACAAACAAAAGGAACTCTTTTTAGAGTTTTGGAAAGGTTAATTTTTAATTTATTTATTTATTTATTTATTTGTTTCCATTTCTATACCGCCCTTCTCCAAATAGGACTCAGGGCGGTGAACAGCCAAAGTAAAAACAAAAACAAAAAAAAACAAAAAAAAACAAAAACCAGAGCATATAAAATTTAAAAACAGTATTAAAATAATTAAATATTTTGGCCGTGAATTAAAACAACCCAATTTAAAATCAATTTAAAATTTAACTCAAGCCAGCCCAGCTAGTTGAAATAAATAGGTTTTCAGGGCCCGACGAAAAATCCGGAGGTCTGTTATTGTACGTAACTCTGGGGGAAGGTTGTTCCAGAGGGTGGGCGCTGTCACAGAGAAGGCTCTCCCCCTGGGGGTCGCCAGCCGACATTGTCTGGCGGACGGCACCCTGAGGAGGCCCACTCTGTGCGAGCGTACTGGCCGGTGGGAGGCTATTGGTGGCAGAAGGCGGTCTCGTAAGTACCCCAGCCCTAAGCCATGGAGCGCTTTAAAGGTGGTCACAACACCTTGAAGCGCACCCGGAAGACCACCGGGAGCCAGTGCAGCTCGCACAGGAGAGGTGTCACATGGGAGCGCCTCGTCGCCCCCATAATCCCCCGTGCGGCTGCATTCTGGACCAGCTAGAGCCTCCGGGTGCACCCCAGGGGGAGCCCCATGTAGAGAGCGTTACAGTAGTCCAGGCGTGAAGTCACTAGTGCCTGAGTGACTGTGCGTAGAGAGTCCCGATCTAGAAAGGGGCACAACTGATGTATCAGGCGAACCTGATAAAAAGCCCCCCCTGGCCACGGCCGTCAAATGATCTTCTAAAGACAGCCGTGCGTCCAGGAGGACGCCCAAGTTACGAGCCCTCTCCGTGGGGGCGAGTGATTCGCCCCCAATAGCCAGCAATGGTGTCAGCTGGCTATATCGGGATGCTGGAAGGCACAGCCACTCGGTCTTGGAGGGGTTGAGTCGGAGCCTGTTTCTCCCCATCCAGGCCCGCACGGCCTCCAGGCACTGGAATAAGAGATTTTCTGCATTGGTTCAATCACTACAATTTAAACTGTTTCCTGATCCCTGCAATCTCTTTCTGAAAAAAGATACAGAGGTAAATTTCTGAGCAGCGCTGAAAAGAATGATCATTAACTTAACCCTTAAGGAGTGGTGGGCATTTGCTGTTTCTGATTACTGGATTTTATTAGGATGCCAGGAAGTCTGGCATCCTAATAAAATGGTGTACTTGGTTGGTAAGCTTGGCCCCTCCTGCGAGGGACTTCCCCCCACCCACCCCCCGTTTACCATCCTCAGTAAGTTGCTAGACAATGCAAGGCATAGTAGCAACTTTCATTTCATCTGACCAGGACTTTGTTAGCTCAGGGCTACAGCTTAATAGTAGTACAGGGGTTTAAGGCACCCTGTTATTAAGCTGGTTATTAAGACCAGCTTCCTGCAATTACTGCAGGGTTCGAATCTCGCCAAGGCTCAAGGTTGACTCAGCCTTCCATCCTTTCTAAGGTAGGTAAATTGAAGACCCAGTTGTGGGGGCAATAAGCTGACTTTGTATAAATATACAAAAGGATGAAGGCTATTGCTGAGCACATTGTAGCCGCCCTGAGTCTTCGGAGAAGGGCGGCATATAAATCAAATTAAAAAAAAAAATTCCATGTCAATTAGCATAGGCAGCAAAAACAGCCTGGTACAATGAGATACAGTGCCCAAGAGATAGACAAGGGCATAGCTGGTGCAGAAAAAGTCACATTGTATGCTTGCAGTATTCTATTCTAAGAAACAGTAGAAGCTTGGCTAAAAACTACCCTGGCATCCATTCATTCATTTTTGAGAGACAAAATACACACCTAATCTGTAGAATTTAAGAGAAAGATTTAATCCAAGAACTGAGTTGGAACAGAGTTGTTACCTAGCACATTACCACAAATAAGACAGGCCATTATTTGCTAATGTCAAGAGTGAATCAGGACTTGATTGGGTCAGAAAATGAACATAGACCAGAAATTTAAAAATGAGAATAAAATTACTTCAGGGAAAAAAGAATTAGTACAAATACTTTATCTTCTTATAATAGCTAAATTCTTCATTATACTAATCTTGTAATATACACGTCTTTAAAGTTTTCATGAATATTTGCTTAGCATATATTCCAGTTGAAATATATATTATCTTGTATATTCTTGTCATGTTTACTTAGCTATTCTCAAGTTGTATATTATGTACACATTACTTATTTAGGAATTTAGCCATTCCTGTGAGTATATTTCCATAACTCACTTTCATGCTTCAAAAAAAGAATAAAGCTTGAGTATCTCAGATCCCCCAGTGTTTTAATTTCCCTTTAGTTAAATGAAAATGGCTTTGGATTTTCAGAAGACCAGTGGACAAGTATTACTCCATCAATCTCTTTATTCCTCTAATAAAGATTGCAATTCCCTTTTAAGACCATCAAATTAATGATTATTGTCATTCTTGTAATAGTGAATTCTGTAGTTTGACAATGCTGAGTGCCAGGTGCTTTCTTTTCCCTCTGCAAATCAGTCTTCTTAATTAGAGTATCATGGGTTCTGGTATTATGGAAGAGAAAGAAATTGTTCTTCCTATCCAGGTTCTTTAATGCTTATCAAAGAGTCATATCTATAATTCTCTACACATCTCTCATGCCTTCTTATCCTTTTGTTTGCCTTTTCCCTAAATCAAAAAGCCTTACATCTTTTAGCCTTACTTCACAACTGCCCTTACCTTGGACAGTTCATCCAAACATTGATTGTTGTTAATGTCCTTTGCTGAATCTTTTCCATTTTCCAAAAAGATTTGCAAAAACTATGCATGACTATGTATAACTATTACAAATGAGTTATGTCACAGATTTTGATCAGAACTTTGATATTATGATATTAACTGTTTTATTTTAAATTCCTTTTTTAATATTTCTGGCCCTAAATTTTCGGTCTTCACAGCAATCATGTTCACTGCTCTGTTGAACTCTGAGAACCTATTCCTATTCAGTTGCCATCATTTTAGTTATTTATACATGAATTTAGCCATTCCTGTCCCGGTTTGCATCACTACTTAGGTGGTATTGCGTTTACCATGTTTATGTTCTTTTCCTCTGTTTAAAGAGAGCTTTTTAGACCACGGTCCCTTCTTGTTTTAATCACCTTAAATAAATGGGTAGCATTCATTAGTTTGAGCTACTTACTCCTAACCTGAACAAAAATACTTTTTATTGGATAGCCCATTTACAGAGCTCCCTTTGCTAATAGTATGTACATATTGCTATTCCTTATTTTCTGTTCTTTAACCAGTTTCAATCCAAAGAGAACCCTTTCTTTCTTCATATCCATGAGCAAGAAGCTGCTTGAGAATCTTTCATTAAGGATATTATCAAAAGCCTTTTGAATATCCAAATAAATGTTGCTGTTAAAACTCCATGTTTTAATATACATCAAGCTCTTCCTGGCTTAGCCCCTAGGATGCTATGAATGCAGTCACTATAAGCAGTTTGTCTAGGCCTTAACAAAAGAAATGGGATTATTAATTGTGGAAAAGCCTCTTGCATTCTAACTACATCCATTCAAAAGCATTTTTTTATTAGGCAGGGCATCAAACTATTTTATTCTGTTGGGTTCTGGTTGGGTTGTAAATCTGGATTAATTTGTCTTCTGGCTTTGTCTCCTGTTTTAAGTTGTTGGTTTTATTCTTTTTGTATGAGAATATTTTGAAATTATGCATTATTCTAAAGGCTTTCTGGGAAGGAAAATATGCATAAACATTTTAATA